CAGTGTGTTGCACAGGTCTTTGGATGTGCTGTGGGGAACTTGTGGTTGGTGGTTGGGCCGCGGTGTAATCATCACGGGAATCTCCGTGTTGTGGTGGCGGTTCAGGGACTGGGAGGACATGCCTTCGGTTCCGCCTGTACTCTCCGCCTCCTGACTGGACGATGTATGAGCTGGGTTCCGTGCAGGCTTCCTTGATAGTCCCTAAGGAGTCATGTCCATGACGCATTTGCATCCGCACAACCTCACCTGGCATGGGGGGACGGAGGGGTCTGCTGGACTTGTCATAGTATTTCTTTTGTGCATGGCACTTGTGAACTAAGTTTGTTTTAACAGCTCTGTTGCTTTTGGGGCTGGGAATGAGCAGACGTTTACACACAGGTAGGGTAGTGCACATCTGTCTTGACATCAGCCTTTCAGCTGGAGAACCTAGTGTGTGATCTCGTGGCACATTGCGGAGATTGAGTAGGTTGAGGAAGACATCTGTTCCATCTCTCTTTGACCTTTCCATCAGCTGCTTTGCACTGCGAACTGCACGTTCAGCCAGTCCATTGGCCTGCGGATAGTGTGGGCTACTTGTCACATGAACAAAGTCCCAGTCCGAAGCAAAGTCTGCAAAGCGTTGGCTAGTGAACTGGGTGCCATAGTCTGATATTACTATGTGCGGGCAGCCATGGACGGAAAAGTGTCTTTTGAGCTTCGTAATGACAGTGCTGGCAGTTAGGTCACGAAGCAAGTCTACCTCGAACCAACCTGAGTAAGAGTCGACTACAACCAGGTGATGTCGACCATTCCACTCAAAGATGTCAGTGGCGATGGTTGTGCGTGCACAGCGTACTACTTGGAACAGGTATATGAAAGCAGCATTAACGAACAATATTAGTCAGATGTTCTACAATAACCAAACAGCAGCGAACTTTAATACTTTCACTAAACATAAGATGGCTTAGATGGCGTTTTTCCTGAGACCTGAGGATGTCCTGAAATGAACACCATAGCATCAGATCACATCAAATATCACATGTTGTTGTTTGAGGTTCTGGTAGAAAAACCATTTAATGTTAAGCTGTTATCATTTTTAATAAACTTGAAGTTATATTTGGTTATTGATTTTTCGATGCATGCTAACAGGTAAATCGTTGTTTTGTCTTTTGTCTTAATAAAGTCATCTTAACGCCATCAAACTCTATCCAAACTATCTTTGGCCTTTCATTATGCTCATATGTCAACTTATTCATTTTTCTGATGTTTGGTCTCTGCATGATCACATGGTGTTCAGGCCGGTGTTGATTAGAGCTGCAGCTCTGAGATTCCCAGTAGTGTGACAGAAAGAGCCAATTAAGCAGCCCCGATAATTAATCCCTGTGTTCTTCTCAAAGGAAGCCAAATTCTGTTGTACTGACCTCGGGACCAATTAGCTTCAAAAGGAAAATGGGAACAAATATACAGATGAAATACCTGAAGGAAGGAGCAACAGTCAAATTAGATAAACCTCAGAGGAAACATCTGCGCTCCTCTGAATTCAATATCAGAGCAGGAAATAATATCACGCTGCAGCTTTTCATCGTAGGAGGAAAGATATAATCACTTATATAATAGTTATTTTCTTTCTGAAGAACATTTAAGTATTTATTTATTTTTGCACATGCTAGCAAACATAAAATGTGATTAGGAACTTAACTTAAAGTTTGTTAACTCAGTGTTTATCACACGAGAATCAGAATATGTATCGGCCTTATAAAACAGACATTGCGCTGGAGTTTTAAAAAAAAAACTGAATCTGGTATTCAGTGAAAAACACGTCAGAAGTGCGTGTGCACAAAAATCACCAGATTCAGAGTCGCGTCAGGTTGTCCCACATGTCTCTGCTCGTTGTCCTAACAGACCCACACCCTGACAAACCTCCGGAGACCGATGGGCTCAGGGACCTTTACACTGCCACAAGCTGCTTTGAGCCAATCACAGCGGTGCTGTGTTTGAGGTCAGCCTTTCAGTGGGACATGAGCAACTGGCTATAAGATGACTTGAGAAAAGACCGGGTTTTTCCTGACGTTAAACCAGCGCTGCAGGTAAGAAAGATCTTGTTTTCTCTTTCTTCTCGCTTTTGTTTGCTTTTTAAAACCAGTGTTTGGATTTAAAAAAATATTTTGGTTAGAGTCCAAACACTGAGACAGTTCTCAAAGTCAGAGGTGTGGACTCGAGTCACATGACTTGGACTCGAGTCAGACTCGAGTCATTAATTTTATGACTTTAGACTTGACTTGAAAAAATGTTCTCAGACTTGTGACTTGACTTGGACTTTTACACCAATGACTTGGGACTTGAATTGGACTTGAACCGGTTTACTTGAAAAGACTTGATATTTTACCCCAAATATAAAATTTAACATGCATATTATATAGAGATTGAAAATGTGACGTCATTCACGGGTAGAACCGCAAAGGATTCTGGGAACTCGTGGCAAGAGGTACTAGCGCACGCAGGCTTTCAATTGAAATCAGTCACACAGCGATAAAAAAGAAACACAAAAATGTCAAGAAGCTGTTGTATTATTAACTGCAATAGCCGGTCGCATGACAGCCACGGGAAGCCGACGGGTAAAGAGATCGGTTGTTATCGGATTACGTCGTTGAAGAGAAATTGTTCGAGCCATGTTTCCGAAGTAACAAAGACGCGACTGGATTGCAGCCATTCAAAGACCAAATATAACGTCCCAGAACACTCCAGCTCACAGGTTAGTCTGCTCCAAACATTTACACGAAGGTCAGTCTGCTGTTGTAGTTAATGCGTCATTTTTCATAACATAACTGGTGATATAGGTTACAAGCAAGTCTGGTGCTGAACAGAAATGGTCGCGCTATGCTCCTTTATTTATTGTGCATAAATAGTGAATTGTCCTGACACAATATTGTGTTTCGCTTCTGTTATTATGGTACATTGACAAAAACATGTACTTTTATTCACAGGATAAAACAGGTTTTAGTATCACTAATTGCCCAGTACGATTACAGCATACAGTATTATTGTCAATGCTACATTTCTGTGATGCTACCAGAAATTATTTCCACTACTAATTAATTACCGTTGAGCTCAAAGGTTATATTAATAAACGGTTAAGGAATGTGTATTTATGAAGACAATTTGTGAGACTGGTAAACTTATGATACGTACGATGGTCTTTCGTTCTACACGGTGCATTTCAAGGTCCTGCACCCATCCGTCGGTAAACTGTACCTGGGCTTGTTGCAGTGACCTGAAGTTACTAAACTTCATGAGTGTATGCGCTCACTCCAAGAACCGTATAATTATAAATATGCATATAAATATGCTAAGATGAGATAGCTGACTTCATCTAACTAGCAAATGTTGTCCAGGCTACGTTGGTGATTCAGTTTTTTTTAATATGTATGATATTTTTGTCATGCGATTTTAAAGCCGGTCCTACAAGCGCATCCAAGAATAACATGCAGCTTATCTCAGAACTGTCGGTGAAAATTATTCTTGGAGCTAAGTTTAATTGAGCTGCATTTTAAAGAGGTGCAATTTCACAATTTGTGTATATTTTCTAAGTTCACTATTTTGTCATGTGTTGAGAAAAACCCAGATTTTAAAATTACATGGTCTAATATTTACATTTAGCATAACTGCAACATTCTTTTTTCGTTTTTGTTTTTTTTTAAAGACTCGAAAGGACTTGAAATTCAAAATTTCAGACTTGTGACTTGACTCGGACTTTTACACCAGTGACTTGAGACTCGACTCTGACTTGCCTGACATTACTTGAGACTTGACTTGAGACTTGAGGATAAAGACTTGAGACTTACTTGAGACTTGCAAAACAATGACTTGGTCCCACCTCTGCTCAAAGTACTCAGAGTACTTTTAATCAGCTATTTAAAAATAGAAACTAGTTTAATTTGAGGTGAAACACAGAATGCAACGATGTGCAAATCTCAGAAACCCATATTTTATTCTATTTACGTGATGGCAGCAGCACATCTGTAAAAGTAGGACAGGTCCATGTTTGCTCTCTAACGTCAGTGTGTGATGGTCTGATGGAGGATTCCAGCTGCTCAGCAGTCCTGGCTCTGCTTCGTCCTCTTCAGTCTAAGGACCTCCATGTTTGGATGGGTCTGACCTCAGATCTGTTTTAAGGAGTTTTGGTCCAGAGGACATGGTGCTGTTTCTCCATCGTGGTCATACGTGGCTTCATCTCTGTGTGATGGAGCAGTAACCTGCACGCTGAGCTGCTCGCTGGTTCTTTTGAAGTGTTCCTGAGCCCGTGCACTGATGTTGTAATGTACAGGTCACAGTTATCGGCCTTGTCCCTGTGCATGACGAGACGTTCAAAGACAATTTGGAACTGAAGAACATTATTCTGAAATTGCAGTTTTTTGCAGGCCTGTCACTGACCTGTTGCCAATTAGTTATCAAATGTTCCTCTCACTGTTTCTTACTTTTCCGGCCTTTTGTTGCCTCATCCTAACTTCTCTGAGACGTGTTGCTGCCATCAAATTAGATATCAGGAATATGTCCTCTGTGTTCTATTGTGAGTAAAATACGAGTTTGTGAGATTTAAAATCTTTGTATTCCGTTTACATTTTCAAAAGTTCCAGATGAACCAATGCACTAACTACTTATGTAGAAATCCCTTTTTTTTTTGTCATTATTTACCAAAAAAAACCTGTTTAAAAGAAAAAAATACTGCACTGTTTTACAGCTACGGTTACAGCACCAAAATTCAGTGAACTTAAGCACAGCCGATTCTTTCACACATGTCGGTAAAGGCAGACTGCGCGGTGAGGTGCCCACCGCCAATTTAAATGAAGTATGCTCACTGTGTGTGCAATCTTTTCAGCAGCCTTAAAAATGTAATTGTGTTTGGAAGAAGTGGAAAATTTTAGCAGGCAAGAACTGCATTTGGATAAGTTCCCGTGTCCTCTCGGCGACGGTGGTGCTGACTGTTTCTGTGTGGCCGTCTCTGTGCAGGTGAAGCCAGAGCCATGTTGGAAGCACCGCTAAGCAGAAACTTCTCCCATTGCACATTTGTGTTACGAGGGTTTCCCTCGCTGCAGAAACACCGCCGGCTGTTGGCGCTGCCATTTAGCGCCTCCTACCTGTTGGTGCTGCTCGGAAACTCGCTGCTGGTGTACGTCATCTGCAGCGTGGAGAGACTGCACAGCCCCATGTACCTCCTCATTTGCACGCTCTGCTTTGTTGACATCCTGGTTGTGACAACCATCATCCCCAACATGCTCCTTGGCTTTCTGTTCGACTGGAATGAGATTTCATTGGTGGGCTGCTTGACTCAAATGTTCTTCATTCATTTCCTGTCCTCAGTGGAGTCAACCCTGTTGTTGGCAATGGCACTGGACCGCTACTTCGCCATCTGCCGGCCACTGCGCTACAATGAAATAATTAACTCCTCCATGCTGGTGAGGCTAGTGCTCTTCACGCTGGTGCGCAGCGTCTCTATCATGGCGACGCTCGTAGGTTTGGCAGGTTCTCTGCAGTTCTGTGGTTCCAACGTAATCCAGCACTGCTACTGCGACCACATGGCGCTGGTCAGCCTGGCGTGTGACAGCACAAGCCGGAGCAGTGCAGCTGGCCTTGCTGTCATCATCTGCTTTGTAGGAGCTGACATACCAATTATTTTCTTTTCCTATATGAAGATACTGAGCGTGGTCTTGCGATCGGCAGCAGCCGGTGAAGACAGCAGGAAAGCTTTTCACACCTGCAGCACTCACCTCATTGTTATGATGTGTTTTTACCTGGTGGGCAGCATCACCTTCCTCTCTCACAACCTGAACATCCCCATACCAACAGATATCAACAATTCCATGGGACTCATGTACATCCTTTTCCCAGCAACAATCAACCCTATCATCTACGGAGTACGAACCAAAGAAATCCGTGACAGCTTTCTGAGAATTTTCAAAAACAGAGCAAAGAAAATAATGACTGCGAAGGTTTCGTCTGCTGGAAAAGAAAAATCATGAAGCCCCTCTTCTGTGGGGTTTGGTTTATATGATCTTCATGAACCTCTTTTATGCAAACATACTTTTTTTTATACAACTAATGCCTGTAGTTTCAGACTCTGAAGTGGAAACAGGACCTTGGAACCATCCCAGAGTTTCAGATTATAGACGGCTGCTTTGAAACTGGGTTCTGCTCATATGCACCAAATTTTTGCTTTTGGGAGTTCTTGGGTGCTGGAAAATATCCCGCCTGGGAACTCTGTTGTCCAGTTGGGGTACCTCATTTTTTAATGTTGGCAATAACAGAGAAACTTGTTGATGGGGAGGAAGGGCTTTCTGGAGGCCAAGTGTTGTTCTGTTACTGGACTTCTGTGCTGTTGGTCTATAATGAACATTGGTTGATTTTGTCATTTTTTACTACATGCAATGGCCAACTCACCTGTCTCTGACCTGGACTAGGTGTATTAAGGAGGATGCCAGACAGCCATGAAAAATGAAAGTGTGCTGGGAGGATCTGGGACGGGCCTTGGAGTGGAGATCTTCACCTCCTGCAAAACTTTTGCAGCATTATTCTGATTGGGGCCAGGGACACCGAGTCTGAATGGACCACATTCAACACCACCACTGCTGATGTGACTGAATGAGGCTATGGCTGTAAGGTGTTTAGGGCACGTCATGGCAGAGCCCCACCAGTAAACACCGGAGGTAAAGGGAAATGTGATGGTGAAGGAGTAGACCTATCAGGGATAAAGGGCTTATGGGACAGTTGGCATGTTTAGGCAGAATACGACCATGACATGAAAAAAGAGTGGGAGTTTTTCAGGGAGTGAGGTATTTGCTGCTGCTGCTCTTGTGACCTAAGCGCAGATATGCAGCAGAAAAATCAAACTGTGACTGCAAGGTATACATGAGTCTGAAAACCTCCTGCAAGACGTGTTATCTGAAGTCTAACTGTTAATGAATGCTCAGGGATTCAGACATGCTGTCGAAAGCATTTGCTGTTTGGTGAATCACTATAAAGCTTCTTTAAAAGGCATCTCTACAATTAACACATTCATTCATTTCCTTAAATGGAACACCCAGCATTAGGCATTAGCACAAGTACCGTATTTTTCACACTATAAGGCGCTCTTAGAATTATTTAATTTTCTCAAAAATTGACAGTGCGCCTTATGTATGAATTCTGGTTGTGCTTACTGACCTCAAACTGATTTTTTGTGGTACACGGCGCTCAAAACTATGTCAAAAATGTTTCAGTACAACTTTGGTAAGCTACGAAGCCGCACCGCTTGATGGATTGTCGGAGCATTATGGCTACTGTAGTCAGGAGCCTCGTGGAGTGATCTGGGTCCTAAACTCCGTCCTTCAGGTCCCAAAGTCAAACGAACACTGCAGCATCACTGAGAGTTAAAAACTGTCTAAATTCTTTCATCTTTAATAAAAGTGTAACAGGTGTAGCAATTAAGTTTAACATCCAGGCATCCATGAAAACAGAATTTATTCAATTTAAAGAAGTTAGAAGTCAGCAGGAAGTTAGCTCGCTAGTTTCCACCTAAACATGATATAGCACGTTCTGACTGGGAGATTTCTGAAAAATTTCAAACATACAGCTCTGTTATCACTTCCAGCATAAATGAAGACAGAAAACTAAACAGCAGTGACGTTTGTAGGGTTACTGAAGTTGGGCTAGCTGGTATATAATTATGTGCTACGTGACCGCTAGCTACACAGCTATGTTAGCATAACAAACATAGTGAAGCTGGAGGATGAACGCTAACTCTTTTCCACTCGATAAAAGTTAACGTGAGGGTTCCTGATGGTTAGGGACAAATGCAATCGCATGGCAGGATGCTGTAAACGGACCAAACTTCAGTCAGGGGAACAACTGAGATAATCCATCCACAATACGAGGTTAGTCATTAATATACTGCAACAACATGGGAATAGAGCAGCTGCAGAGAATTCAGCATTAATGAATCAATGGTACAGAAGTGGAAGAAGCAAAAAGAATGAGTTGAGTAAAGTTTGACTTATTTGACTGTTTTGTTTCGCTTAATGCGCCTTATAATCTGAAAAATATGTTAGTCTTTATCTGCCTTCAGCTCACCCTTTTCCCAGCATCCTCCTCTGTTGCACCAACCTTCTGCATGTCCTCCTCCACTACATCCATGAATCTCCTCTGAGCTCCTCGTCGGTTGAAAAGTTCGTTTTTGTTTAGTTTCATGAATCCAGACAAATGGGGACACAAACGTCCTTTTATTTAAGATCCAGTGAAATATACAAGTTTTCCTCACGCCCCGCCAAAATGAACAGTCAGACACAGCTGATGTTTTCTGTTTTTTCTTAAACTGTACGTTACAATGCAAAAACTGGTTTCAGTCTGACTTTAAAGTAAGCAGAAACACATCTTACCCCTCATACAGGATGTTTGAGACTCTTTAACTTTGAATCTTTTCAAAATAAAGGTTTGCACAATTTCTTTACCTGCTCAAGTCACCTGATACGACATATGGATGGATGACATCCCTGCCAATTCTCTTACAAATCATTGATGAATTTCCATGTAGATTCTCTTTCTTCAGCACAGCCACTAGTTTTACTTTGTTTCTGTAAAATCAGCCGGCACGTAGGGATTGCCCATTAGAGCGCTAATCTTCAGCGGTCTAAGGAGCCAGTCCCACAGGCCGAGAGACCGGAGAACGACCCACTGGCAACCTCTGGTCATTGTTCACCAGCCAGCTGTGAGTGGTTAATGTAAAAGAAGGCCGCTACGCCACAAACCTCTCTGTGACTGCCTCCATCACCTGTAGTTTGCATATAAGACGTTGAGTCATCTGCAGACCAGTAAAAGTTGCATCTTCCATGCAAACTTCAGGCAACTGAGGCAGTCTGCCACAGGCCAGAACAACCACAGGAGGCTTTTGTTGCAGCACCATATTTCACCGAGCAACTGCCACAACCACTCGCCACCCAGTCACCAGCAGTGAGTGTTTGCTAGGAGGCCTGTGTGATGACCTCTGACCGCAACACTGTTCTATCAGATTTTATTTAGTGAATAAAATAATATTTTCCATTTTGCTTGCTGTCTCTGAGTTTCAGTTCAGTTTCAATAAAAGATCTTTCGGTTTATTTTCAGTTTTAAACTTTATTACATTTAAGGTAAGTGAAGATTTACTGGGTGACGAAATGTTTCGGATATTTCAGTAGAAATTTAACATTATTAGCTTCAGAATTAGCCTGTCACACTAAAGTGACTCATAATTATCAGAATGTTGTTTGAGGAAACAAAATATATATCTCTCCAGTCTTAAAAGCATTCACAACGATCAGGCCACAGTTCGAACAGTTGCTCTTTAAATTTCTGCCAGATGTCTGATTGTTTCAGTTAAACAGAGGTAAAGGTAACAAACACGTAAAGGATTCCAATTATATTTGTCTGACACATGTATCATATTAAAGCGCAGCGTTTACTTTAAGGCAACATGAAGCCGTGCTGATTTTAACAGAAACGAAGCGAATGGACGACCAGCGACTACCTGCAAGGAAGAAAATCGTTCTGATGATGATTCGGAAAATTATCAGCATGAACACATGAAACCGTATGCTATTTAAAATCAGTTTGATTATTCATGACATTAATAAATCATAGGAAGTATTTATTCATGCAAACTAGGCCACCGGTTGCTGTTAAATGGTCGGTGGCTCACTCTGACAGTTTGAGGTCCTCTTGTCGGGCGGCCCAGCAGATCACTTCGGTGCCGTTTCCCATCTGCTCTGCAGCTTCAGCAACACCGACTACAGATGGTTACTCAGCAAAATCCTCCATCGGCTGAAGTTTGTCTCCAGTGGCAGAGGGTTCAAGATCAACCGAGGCTGGCAGTGTTGTTTCTAAAGACTTTAAACTAATCTCAACACAACTTTACATCTGTTTGGTCCCTAATGGAAACACTTAGAACAAAGAGACATTAGAGGCATGCTACCAGCTGTCGTTAGGAGCTGCCGGGTCGGCGCTCCAGGCGACTCCGTCGGAGCAAAGAGCCGCTCCGATGTCTAGGCTGCAGTATTCTAGTTTTTTTTTTAAACACCTCACCGGGACTCAGAGAGGACAGACATGAACGAGCACACAAACACGGCACCACCGAGTGTTTAAAGGGTGTCCAGACTGTGGTTTGACCTAAAGGTGAACTCCATTAGCTCCACACTACATACAGCAGCAAAACAACAGCCGCAGTGTCTCCTCCCCTCTATCTGTCGTCCAGTTTGGGCGAGTCCACCGGCTCCTCGTCTTCATCCTTGTCGTCTTTTGCTCCGATCAGCCGCTGGCGGGCAAAGTCTTCGAAGATGATGTCATCGTCGCTGAGGGAGGGAGAGGTTATGGAAGTTAAATCAGAGACGCTAACTTGGTCATATGATTTTTGGTTTGAAATGAGTAATATGGCACTTATTAAATGTTTATTGTTTCGTATCCGTGGTTACCAGCGTTGGGAGCGTTATTTTTCTGTAACACGTCGCCGCACTAACATCTTAGTTACAATTAGTCGATATTTTACTGGTTAGCAACAAAAAGCTCTCAAACATTTTTGTGAATTCAACTTTCGTTTATGGACGTAATCGCGCCGAGACTCGTTTACAACGCATTTTAATCAGCTGATATGAGACGGTGCCTGGGACGGCTTTGTGTTCAGGCTGGTGAGCGAAGAAACATGTCCGAGCCTCCAAATTTCATAAACATTTGTGAATATAATGAACATGTAATGAAATAAAAAGTGAAAATAAAAAAGGCCAAACATATAAAAACAGTCCTGTGAATTTTTTTCAAACTATATTTACATTTTTTTATTTTCAAACTTGGTCTTTCGACCCACTTTTATATGACAGGGCCACATGAAACAAGACTAAAGTGGAAATGAAGGTTTTCTTCTGCTCTGACAGCAAAACGAGTGGATAAATCCTCCATCCTCTTTACTGTGACCATCGATATCCTCACATCTGTCCATTTCATTTTGTACCAACGCGCCCATCTCCCCAGTGTCTTCATCGCCACACTGTGTTTACTTGCTGAGAGAGCAGAGGGGACAGCAGCCGCGCCACTTTTAAAACAACAACTTTAACCGACGTGAGAAAGCTAACGGGCCATGACCCCGCCCTGCCATTTAGTAATGAGATTAATAATTACAGACGAAGCTGGAGACGAGCTGGAGACGGCAGAAAGAGTGTTTCACTGCTTTTACTTCTTCTTCCCCCTGTACAGACGTCTGAGGTAACAAAGACAGGAAGTGGAAATATTCGTTGGGCTGCAAGGAAAGAGGAAATAAAAACACACAAACGAGGAAGTGGCCTCGCTGTTCTGTATTTCATCTTTGCAGCTGGAGTCATTTCCTTTGTTGTTGCGTACGCATGAAATGATAATGAGTAAATTGCAGCGTCGGCTCACAGCGCTCGCGTTTGGCTGTGCTGGCAGCAGAACGAGTTTCCAGTTTAAAGCCCATTTCCTGCAGCTCCCACAGCAGCAGGCATTAAGACGCATTAAGACTGAAACTCTGGAGACGAGTCCATCACTGTTAATGCTGCAGCGGGCGCAGAGGAAACCTGTCTGCTGTCAGTGTTATTGATGAACCCGTAAACCAGAGCAGAACCAATCAGAGTGAGGAGGAGAGGCAGCGGCGAGACGGGAAGACGGCTGCTTACTTTGTGTCAAACTCGATGAGGTTCGCGTCGACTGGAGCCTCGTCTGCAGCTGTGGAGGAGCGAGAGATCACAGTTACACACCTGAGGAAAACTCTTGGCTCGTCTCTGTCAGAGCCAATTCAATCTTCTCACACCGACTCGTTTAAAATCCCCACACACCCTCAGTCTGAGCCTGGCTCCGGTCGTGACGCTCTGACCTGTCAGACAGCCCCGTGGAGCGCCGTCTTTGCGTCTGGAGCTCAGGTTTACTGAGGGAGACCTGATGACTCCGAGCAGCTCAGCTCTGGGTCTGTTCTCCACAACCGCCGCAAACAAGGAGGAAGAACTGCAGCAGGGCCGCAAGCACGGATTTACGTGGGTCTCTAACCGATTGGCGGAGCGGGAAGACCGAGGCTGTGGGCAGGGGAGGAGCCAAATCCCAGTATCACACCAGTGCATTCAGTTACTAATAAAATATGGCTCTGAGGGACGCCGGCTTCACTTAGTGCATGAGTCACATGACACGCCGAACTTTGATGTGAGCGTGGACGGAGCCTGCAGCAGAGAGAGAGCCCTCCTCTTCCAGTTGGGTACACCTGTACAGGTGGCCAGTCTGACGCAGGGCTAACACAGAGAGACAGACAACCACTCACGCTCACATCTGTGGGCGGCAGCTATCTAAAGTAAGCATCTGTGGGAGGAAGCCGGAGTACCCGGAGAGAGCCCACACAGACACGGAGGAAAAGGCTCCGCTGGACTCAAACTCAGGACCTTGCTGCTATGAGGCAACAGTGCTAACCACTGCTCCACCGTGCCGCCCACAGAGAAAGATGAGAACCATGGCTCTGTGGTCGGTCAGATCCAGCTAATGCAAAGACAGCCCGGCTTTGTTAAACCTGACTCAGAGGATGCTCCTGTGCTGTGTCTGCTGGGCTGAACCTCCATGTGTCGCCACCGTCTCATCATCTCTTATTTACATTCGTCTTCTGAGCGTGCGTCCTGATCACCGCTGCAGACCCTGCAGTTCTGCATTGTCACCTCCCACTAGCGTCTCTATTTTACAGCCCTAGCAGCTCTTGTAGAGCCTGTAGTGGGCGCTTCTAGAGGAGAAGAAGAAGAGTGCCGATTTGTCAGCTGACTCACCGGGACAGAGATCAGCCTTAAACACCTGAAGATGAATCCACAGCAGCATATTATCAGCATGTGGACATCATGAATACTATTACACTGAACATCAAATATTAATATGCTGCATTACAAATGTCTGCTTTCGAGGTCAGGTGACGCTCTGACCCTTTGAACCTGCGGCTGATAAAGGATGATGTAACGCATCATTTTAACTTCCTGTGTCTGTGAACGTCAGCAGGAACAGGAAGTGTCTCACCTTCCCTGTAGAAGGACTCCTCTAAAGGCTTCGGGTGCATTAACGTGAAGGGCAGCTCGACCGAGACGTCACTGAAACACAGATCATTGGTAACAACACAATAAAAGCATTTATGACCACGTCAGCACTGAGGTGTTCAGTGAGGTGTTCATGCGATCTTTGTAACTCTCGGTGTTTCCATCAATGCGAGAACATGAACGGTTACCTCGCTGCCAGATCTCCAAGGAGCCTGAAATCAATAAAAAGAAAGAGTTTCAGCTTCAATACAAGAGCACAGAGGATTTACGACGAGTGCATCCCAACGCTGTGGACATTTTCACATAACATCTTTCAAACGAACACAGATGCAGATTTGTTATGGTCCATGCACAGTTAAATAGCTTATCTCCAGTTTAGAAATGGGAACTTCTGCCCTCTGATGATTCTGCAGGTTTTTAAATCTTTTGGGCACCAGGTTGTGAGTGTTGATCAGGCAACCGCGTGCCACACGGCTGAGACGGCCGGCCGGGTTTGAGTCCGAACCCCGGGCTTTGCCACATGTCTGCCCCCTCTTTCCTGTCCTAGTCTATCAAATAAAGCTGAAAAGGCCATAAATAACATTTCTGTTTGTCACCAGCTGAGGGGTCTGATTTGTGGACGATATAACCTGAAGCTAAAACGCCACAGTCTGCACAGAGAGCAGAGCGTCACACGACGGCGTGACGAACAAGGATTAACATCTGAGCTCAGGGTCAGCAGGCGACCATTTAACATTTAAAGCTCCTCTCGCACGATACTGACCCGCCACGAGACACAACCAGCTTCACTTTGACTTTGTAGGACACGATGATGCCGAGAATCTCCTTATTGGCTCCATCTCTCAACCTGCACAGCAGACAAAATATTCACACGTCACTCTGCTTGGCTGTCTCGGCCCCGCTGGCAGCGAAGGCGGCGTGAAGGCGGCTGGACTCACAGCGTGCTGGACGCCAGGTTGGTGTCCTCGTGCTTCAGTTTTCCGTCCAGAGCGAGACCTCGTTTCTCGCGATTGTTGGCCAGAAACGGAGTGAGGGTGAAAACTTTGCAGAAAGTCGAACTGGGAGCCACAACGTCACTGAGGAGAGGGAAATAGAGAAGCTTCAGCTGATTTCACATTAGAGAGCTCGTCAGCAGCGTCAGTTTTTCGCTTACTCCAACTTTTGATTCCTTAGTGTCAAACTTTATGGATGAAACTCACTCTGACTCCTCGGTGGCCACGGGACATTTGTACTGAGCCGTGTTGAACAGGCAGATGTCGGCGTACTGTCGCACTGTGGACACAAATATCAGCATTTAGGAGGACGTGGAGACGTGGAGATACACACAGGAAGCAGCGCCCTGACTTGCCTGAGATCTTCATCTTCTTCACGGTCTTGTTGGTGTTGTTGGTGACGTGAACGTTGACGCTGATTGGCTCACCGTGGTAATAGATCTGAGACACAACAGACAGATGACCTCACGGCTCACAACAACCTTTATGACATTCACCTGGTTAAATCGGCATACAGGCTAAAAGTTTGTGTTATTAGGGGCGTGGCCTCCCTGACTGGCAGGTGGATGGTGACACCTAGACCTCTGCACCTTGTTTGTGCTGTTGGAGCCTATTGGAGCATTTCTAATGACATCACGTGACCAATAACATGTGTGCTGGGAGGTCGCTGCACTAACAGAGCGTCCCGGAGTCTGAGCTCCAGTTTAAGTGAAATTCAAAGATTTGATTGGCTGTTACTCTGATGAGCAGGCAAACACTTCCATTTGTGCTCCATAGATGAGCTCTGCTGGCTGCTGGTGGGTGAACTGAGTGAATCTGTCCCTCAGGAGTTACCTCCTTGTCCAGCGAGGCCTCCAGGTGCAGCGGTTTATCCGACATCAGGAACTGTCTGGTGGTTTCTGCCGTCGGCTGAGGGCCAGGTTTCTCTGGAGCGTACTGCACCTTCCTGATCACCAGACGCACAGAGTTCCTGCAGCAACACAACATAGCTCAGACATTTATTTCAGAGTGGATGTGTCCCAGATTATTCTGTTCACGTGTGTGTGCGGGCACGAGCGCTCTCAGTTTCATTCATAATTCACGTCTTTGTTGTGCCGCTCGGCCGGACTGCGGCTGACTCACGTTTACCTTTTGTGGATCTTTTCTTCAACATTTTCGGCACAGAAAGCTTTCACCTCAAAGTCGACTCCGCAGGCCTGAGGACACACCACAGCGAGACGTGTCTTCAGATTCATTTAAATCCAGACACGTTTCCACCTTTGAAAGGAGCTTCAAACCCAGAGGGTCTGCACGGCGGCACGAATCGAGCACAAAGCAAAAGAAAATGACAGCGGACGTCGTGGCTTTACCTTTCCGGTGTCCTCCGGTCCCGGCTGCAGGGTGACCGAACACGGCAGGTTCAGAGGAATCTGAAAAGATATGAAATATTCAAAACATCTGAAACATTTATGGGCAGGGCAGAGAGTGAGGATGCTGCGGGTTCCTGCTCCGCTGTCGCTTCTCTTTGTTTTTCTGCATTTTCTGTTTTTGAACTCCAAGAACAAAAAGTTCCTCCTCTGGGTTTGTGAGACGAGAACATCTGTGAGGACGGGAAGCTCCCAGAGAAGACGCTGGACACATGAGTCACTGAGGCTTGATGGATGATGTTACGTGATGAAGCATCATGCACGAGGCAGCGTTTTAGCTGTTGTTTTCCAAACTAATTGAATCATTTATTCATTCATATCTCAACGAACAGCTTCATCTGTCATTATTTTCTACTAATGGATACATTTCCATTAAGTCCGGGATCCTGTTTACATGGATCTTTGTCAACTTTCCATGTAATTTCTCACAAATTGTTCAGAATGATGCAAAGATGAAATGAAGACATTTGATATCCAAGACTTCAAACATGGAGCCTGGCAGCTCGGCACCAATAACACCGGAGTTGGTGCAGCACGCCGAGAAAAAAACTAATTAGAAAAGTCTTAATATTAACGAGGAGGTCTTTGACGGCCTGATAACCACTGCCTGTTAGTGAAACGTGTGACGGCACGTGTCTGTTCACGCGTGTTTTTACTGTCAGTTACATGAAATCAGTATCAAACTGGTCCAACAGTGATGGCTGTGGCTGATGGCAGGGTGTCGTGATCGCCTGTGGTTTGTGTGGAAGACGCCAACTTGTCTGCAAACACTCGCTATGGACTCTCCGAGCTGTAGCAAATTTGCCTTCAAAATAAAAGCCTTTTGAAATGTGTTGGCTGCAGTGGGAAGTTTCACCACGGCTCGGGGAGTAAATGGGGTGTTTGCAAACTGCAGAAACCATGGCAACCAGCATCATCCTTGTGATGGAAAACACCCAGCGACAGCCAGCAACCTCAGCACCAACCGGTCGGGGAATAATCGTCTCCCCTTGCAACCGGAGGCTGCCAGGAAGCTGGTCTGCCTGGATCCAGCACCTCTGTGGGAGAATAAAAGCTAAAAGCACTCTGTCACAGATCAGCGGACAAATATTCAGGTGGCCCGGCGGCCTCCGTACCTCGAAGGTGAACGGGTAGGCGTGTTCTCCCAGTTTTTTAATCAGACGTTCCTGAAGACGAGTCAGAGTCTTCTTCTCTTCGGTGACCGGAGGAAACGCCTGGATGTTCGCCACAAACAGGTCCTTCCGGAACGTCAATCCGAGGACGTCCAAATCCTCGCGACCATAACGGAACGCACACGTCAGAGTCACAAACACTGATGGGGCGAGAACAAAGACAATCAGTGATGGAAGCTGATTAACAGAAAACCGAAACATGTTGCACATTAATGTGAGACGCCATCTTCCTGCTCGTGGTTTTTACAGCAGGACGTGAGCCCAAAGTGAAGCAGCGTGCTCTGATAACACCAGCCAGTGAGGTTTCTGGGTAATCGCTCACATCCACAGCTGCAGCGATTTCTCTGAGCAGCAGCTCAGCTTTCAGCTTTCCCGCACTCGGGCTTCTCACCTTTCCTCTCCTTCAGGTACTCCGGGTCGATCAGAACGACGCCGTCTGCGAGGAGAAAACAAGATCTTCAGCAAAGTCGCTTTTGCTTCAAAAGTCAACTTAAATTTAAATGTGAGTGAAGCTCCAGGATGGAGCCACAGACTGAACAAGATCTCACCGACAGGCTCCACCCGATCCACGTGGTCCACGAAGTCTCTCTTCCCCAGGTAGACGGTGAGCTGAGGGAGGAAGAGCTGCTGTTAGTCAGCCTGAAACTGTCGCTGCTGTTTCGGGCATCAGCAAACTGTCACACCTGCACTGTGCTAAAGGAGGACTCACCTTTCCATTGGGGCTGGCTTTCTTAAACACTCTGCAGACAGAGAGAAGAGCACAGGTCACACTGTTTGAGTATCTCATACTTTTAAATAAAACTGTCCAAGAAAAGTCTGGAAACAGTGAAACAGTCAGAGCGCGCCACACTTCAGGAATAAATTTTAAATTGTCGGAGTTTCTTCTGTTTTAGCAGCAGAAGTGGTTTCTCACATGACCCCTGCCTGTAAAACACCCAGAAAACTCAGACTACCCAAGCTGAGTGAGTCCAGGTGTGCTGCCAGATGTTGGTGCTGATGTATTTTGGGTTTCATGAAGCTCGTGTTGCTCCTAACCCTGCAGATGTGCTCCAGCCCTGAGCTGCGTTCACTCCTCTGAAGGCCACTGTTGGGGAGTAATGGAATACATGTACTGGCATTACATGTTAAATGCAAAATATGAGTAACTGTATTCCATTACAGTTACCACTTAAAAAGGTGGTATTCAGAATACAGTTACTTTGTTGAAATAAATGGATTACACAGCGGTACTTTCCTGTTTCATATGTTCGGCTGTCCCCTCGCTGTTTTTGGTCATTCTACTTGCGGCCACATAACGACGTGAAGAAGTTTTTAAAAAAATTATTATTCAAAAAATGATTTGATACGAAAGCAATAAGCAGACATCGGCCTAAAGAGTGTAGCCCAGCTGTGAGTAAGCTGTTAAGACTCGACTGTACGCTGTGTTCCTGTTTTCCTCTGAAACAATAAGTCCCGTTGGAGTCTTTCAACGCCTCTCTGTCTCTAGCAAAGTCGACCCACACAACAAAGTAAAGCTAGTTTTCAGCTACGAGCCGACACGAACCCGCCGTATTAGTCAGAGGTCCCTTTACTGCAGTTCGGAGCTTCAGTAACAGTAATAAATCACATTCATGTTGTTGTAAAAAGCATGATAATATATTAAGTAATCCAAAGTATTCAGAATAGTTACTCTCATTGAGTAACGTAACGGAATACGTTACAGAATACATTTTGGGGCATGTAATCTGTTACCTGTAGTGGAATACATTCTAAAGTAACCTTCCCAGCTCTGTCTGACACGTTGCTGACCTCATTCGGTCTGAAGCTTTGTCTCCGTCTCTTTTCTTCTGACCGAGTGAAACTGAAGGTGGCAGGAGGCGTCCAGCCTGCAGCCGGCAGAGCCTCGGGGAGGCCCTGCTCTCCACACAGGGCCCAAACATCACAAACATCATCTTCACTATGAGAACCTCAAAAGGTTGATTCTGCTCATGTGGACGTAGCATTTTCAGCAGAGACTCAAACCTCAGTCACAGTGAAACTAGCCCACTGAATGAACAGCAAATGTGCTGTTTGTAAGGTTGTAAACCTGAAAACATCCAGATGAACAGAATCAACCTTTTGGGATTTCCTTACCTGGATTACTGAGCATGCATTATCACTTTCACTATCAGAAGCTACTTTGCGCCTGTTTTGTGTATCGTGTCAGAGCAGAGCGATGATGAGCGCCAGGCTGTGACCAGCAGAGCTCTCGTGTCCACAGCTGTGCAGATTTCTGAGCTGAGAGTGATGCAAGAAGAAAACGAGTAAGTCTGGCTTCAGACGGGCTGTGAGTGTCGGAGCAGTGGCTGGATGACGTCTGGTGTTTGCTGGGACCCTGCACAGTCACATATTACAGAGGGTGTGCCGTCAGCAGCTTCCTCTCTGCATTTCTGTCTAATGCTGCCCGACAGCGTGACGCCCCTCTCCTCACCCCGCGTTAATGTTGTCATAAATTAGCTGATGGCTCCATTAGCTTTCAGCTTCCTCCTGAGTGGCTCTTCATCAATCACCAGCATCGGGACGCCGTTTTTAGCCGGAAACCGGAGGGACTCCTGGGAGCTGCCCACTGCACGATCACCTGCTCACCACACTCTCTGCAATTAGTCCAATTAAACCTTAACACAGAGCAGCTCTGCCATCTGAAATCACGAATCAGGCTGAGCGGCTGGAGGTAGAGCACCGGCTCTGTGACGGCGACAGCAGACGTTTATCGACCTCAGTGGTCACTTCTTGATTTTTAATCACAGCTGAGTGAACGTGTCGGTTTCAGACAAGGCCGGGACAAAACACGGCGTCCTCACAAACCGCTGTGCTAAACACTGGACATATAAATGCTGGTGTTTGTGTGAAATGAGAGAAAAGATGCTGAAAGCTTCGGTAACAGGAAGCGAGCGTCTGAGAGAGTGTAAACACGATTAAAGATTCATTGAAAGAGAGCAGAGCTGAATCTTCAGAGCCGAGGATGCGGTTAGAGCTTCATCGCACAGACGTGAATCAGTGCAGGGTTACAGCACGAGAGGGGCTCACATTTCATCTGAGCGCGAGTAACGACTTTATCACATCAAAGACGCCAAGACAGCTCAAAGACCAGCAAGAAGGCAGAGCTCCTTTTAAGCAAATATTATTACATTTGTCCACTTTTCCCTTTCTGGGTCCAAAGCTGCTGCCACACAGGCAGAGGTGAAGCACCTGGACAGGTACACCTGTTTAGAACCACCACTGAACCAAACAACAAGCTGAAATCAAAGACGTGTGGAGAAGCACCTGATGTGGGTTCTGACGTCCTCCTGCTCTTTCCTGTTTTCACGTCAGTGCTCAGGTTCATCCAAACTGAGCCCGGTCCCTCTGAGGCTCGTTCACACGTGAATAAACACACTTCCTGTGTAAGAGAGTGATGTGCGTCACCCCAAACACTCTGATGCATCATCATTGCTCCTTATTGTTGGGATTATTGTTGTTATCACTTAACCCTCTCGAGGCAGGCGTTGCAGATTTGCAACAGTTACAAACTAACAACCTGATCACCCCACAGACATATTGTTTTTACTCAGAAGTACCACTGCAGGTATTCGTTTGTGCATTAGCAACAAAAACGTCATTTGAGCCTGAGAGGGTTAAACTGATGTTTAATCCTGAATATCGATGAATATTGACGCGTATGGAGACATTTCTGTCACAATAAAAAACGTGGATTCTTCTACGCAACCGTCTGTTGGAAGGACTTTCACTGATTCATTTGCTCTCTTTCTGTGTCAGGAATAAGTTTGGTGCCTTTGAGATTTTCTCACGCGTCGTGGTTCGCTCGTGGTTGGTGCAGGTGAAGCGGCCGCGCCGCTGATCGATCGGCCGCTCTGACACAGGGGGAACGCTAACTGCCCGATCGATGCCTGATTGTTGTGTCAGCTCTGCAGCAGCAGACGGCCGATGATTGAAGACTCCCTCGATACCCAAACTGCAGCAGAGACTCAAACCGGCTTTTTTCGCCTCCTCAGATCTACGACCGTCAGGTGTGACTGGACTGTGTCCGCTTTCCCACAGAGCTGCTTCTCCGTTCTAGCCCTCGGCCGGCTCAGCATTAAAGCTGGACCTGGTTCTGCCGGGCTCAGGAACACGACTGAAAACCACCAGCACGAACGCATGAGGCTCGGCCTCAGCCACGCAGAGAACAGGCAGCTGGTTTCAGATTATATCCAGAGATCACAGATGCTCTGGTCTCTGGGCTGCAGAGGGAGGGACGCTTATCAGCGCTTACTTCATGACACCGGAAACACGGGAATCCAACAGAAACATCTGGCAGCCATTAAAAACATCTGTGCTTCAAACAGGTGTGAGCACAGTGTGAAAATAAAACCCACTGTGGGGAAATAAAGAGACATTTTCAGTGTCCTGACTCACACACCTGAACGACTGTGGAAATCAGTCACTGAAGATGTTTCACCAAGAACCGAAGGGGAACCAGCAGCAGCTGCTTTGGTCTCATTTAGTCAAAATCAACCCAGACCGTCGGGAGCTTTCCCACGGAGGAGCAGGTTTACACGAGCAGCCAGTTCAAACACAAACCTTTATTCCATTTTCTATTAAACATGAAACTCTGTGAAAAGCAGGCTGGAACCTGCAGCTCTCACAGTTACTGTCTCAGGTGATTTATTCTTCGTTCTGTGTGTTAAAACTGGGAAAAGCTCCTGGAGGCTCCGTGAATCCGCTGACTCCTCGGGTCCTCCGGCCAACTTTAGCTTTCACTTTAAAATCCCTGTAATTACTTTTAGGGCCTGGCACAGCCTGACTGCAGCATTAATCAATGAGCTGCTGATCACACTTACCGCTGACAGCTTTATTGGTACAGCACCTTTTAACAGTGAGCAAAATCTAAATCTTTATATGAAACAAAATGAGCAGATATAAAATAAAGACGAGGCCACGAGAACTGAAACCAGCCCGTTGTTTGTTTTTTAAAGAATAGAATATCTTTACACAGGAAAGATATGTACAAGTTACACATACACCTGCACACATACAGATACACCCATACAAACATGCACGGGGGGCGTGTCCAGGGTGTGAGGGGTCCTTGATGATGATGCTGGCTTTCTGCTGAAGTCTGCCAGTATAATAGAATAGAATAGAATACTTTTTATTTGTCAATTTCTTCAAATGTACTTGCCATACAAAGGAATTGAAATTACGTTTCACACTGTCCCATGCGTAGACGTATAAATGTCTCTGAGGGGGTCAGTGAGGTGCCGATTGCCCGCTCTGCTGCCCTCACCACCCGCTGCAGTTTCCTCTTGCCCTCCATGGTGCAGCAGTTGAACCAGAGTGTGCAGCAGGAGGTCAGAAATCTCTCGATGGTGGAGCGGTTGTGGTTAATTAGCAGTCTCTGGGGTAACTGGGCCTGACGTAGTTTCCTGAGGAAGTACAGCCATTGTTGTGCTTTCCCTACCTGGTGGGAGATGTTTGTGGACCAGGTGAGGCCGGCCGAGATGTGGGCTCCGAGGAACTTAAAGCTCTCCACCCTTTCTACCTCCTCCATCAATGTAGAGGGTGGAGTGCTCAGTCGATTACCATCTCCTTGGTCTCGGCTGTGTTCAGATGCAGGTTGTTGTCGTCATCGCTTCAGATGCTGAACCTCCTCTCTGTAGCTGAATCATCGCTGTTGTCGATCAGTCCTATGATGGTGGTGTCAGCAAATTTTATAATGGTGTTACTGGTGTGGATTGGTGAA